ACTTCTACCATACAAGGCTTAAAATCTTAACATTTTTGGGCAGAACATTTGCTTACAATTTTCACATAACTCTAAAATTTCAACTCAATTCTAATAAGAAAAATGAAATTTAATCAATAAATTTTTAAAAAGGTACATCATAAATTTGGCTTTAAATATATCTGTGTCTTAACTTTTTAATATATCAAAAATCCGCATATTTATATTTGCTAAAGTATCATGCAGTGGAAAATAATGTGGTAAATTTTTTTCGCATGAATCAATTCGTAGGATTTTTCTCAAACTAATGAAAATATTTTCTTCTTCATGATTGCATTCTCTAACTAGAAACCTAATGTTATACTTGTTTTTGCATCAATTGCGTTGAATCTGTACGGTCCACAGGCACTTATATTTCCCGATCCAATTTTTGAGTTGTGCCTCTTTTAACGACGGTGTGCGATATGCAGGGCCGAAGAAAATAAGCAAAAAAAATACAGTTTAAGAGCTTGGATAAGCACTAAAACATCGGTAAATATGCTTACAAATATGATCGCCAAACAACAAAAATTAAGTACAGTTTTATGTTTTGTTTTTATATTCAGTTTATTTCAAGGATTGAAAAATTACAATGGACACGCAAGTGTTGTTGATATTCTAAAACAATATAGATATGCGCTGGTCGATTTAATTTTTGAAGTGAAACTTCTTTAGCGGCGGTTGGTTGGTTGGTTGGGAGTAAATTGGCAAATTCAACGGAAATTGCACACGGAAATGGTGCAACGGAAAAGACAATGAGCATACCGATAAAAGTTAAGATGAAGATAGGGGAAGGAAGGAAGATTAAAAGAAAGGTTATTAAAGAGGAATCGTTATAGAGAAAGACACAGGACTCAATCTGGGAACTACTTTGGGATTTTAGAGATTTTCGGGGATTCTCGGGACTTATCGATAAAATAATCGATATTTTTATCGGTTTTGTTATCGATATTTTTAACGAAATTTTTGTAGATATTGTTATTAATTTTGCTATCGATATTTTTGGAACTTATCAATATAATACGCGATTTTTTATATATTTTGTTATCGATATTTTTATCTATTTTGTTGTCGATGTTTTT